CACGCAGCGCCCGGCCCCGCCCCCGCACGCCCAGAGTAGAGCGCCGGCCCAGCTGTATCCTTGCGGGTCTTGGCAGGGTCTGCCTCTGCCCACGTGGGAGCCCCTTTGCGCCTCCAGAATTTCTCTCTTTTATGAGGGACTCGGGGACTTGTCCACAAGCCGCATTTTCAGAACTTATTTGACTTAGATGGTGGTTTAGGAGCGTGTCCGGGGCGAGGAGGAGGAAAGGAGATTTGGAGGAGGCGAAAGCCCACTCAGCCCTTTGCATTGCCTGAGCTGGGCCGCAGCCAGGGCCCTGGAATGCGAGCGCTGACATTGATCACCTGGCAAGGTCGGGGACAGGGAGGGGAAGTGCAGCGCGGGCTCTGACATCTCACTGTCGTTATTTACTGCCGCGAGTACAGCCTGCATTACTGCCTACTGCCGCGAGAAAGGATGGGCTGCCTGCACTTTTAAGACTGGGTGACTCTCTTTGACAGCTGTGTCTGTCGCTCAAGTGACAGTCTCCTCCAAGCTAGCTGAATGCAACTTCTCGCTGCCTCCCCTTCTCTCTTCTCCCTCCCCTCTTCTCTCCTGGTCTGCCCCACTCTCAGGTCATGTCTATGTCATCTCCAAGTTCTACTTTCCAGCCATCATTATTTCTCTTCCTGACGTTGCATGGGACATTCTTCCCTCTAAGTCTTCAACATGGTTGCCTTTTTCTCATTTCTCAAACTTCAGTTCAACTGGCACTTGAATCTTGAATTACTTTTCTAGGGCAGCTGTCCCCACAAACTAGATGTTTTCAATACCGCAAACTCTTGGTAGGTTTTTTTTTTTTTTTCAGAAGTTTTTGTCTTAGGGTGCATACACTTGCCAGAGAGAGAGACACACACAGAAACAGTGAAAGGGAAGATGAGAAATCCCCCCACCCCGCAGGGATAGCCACATCTCAATCCCTTCTCTGCTCTCCTCCTGGGATCTTGGGCACACATGCATATGCACCTAGCATCATTTTTAAGCCACCGGGTCTGGGTCTGGGACTCTAACCAGGGTCAGCCACGTGGGAGTCCAGCAATGTAACCACTATGCCATGGGGGGGTGTGTGTGTCCCCAACCTCTGGAGTTTAAACATTAGAAATGTACAATGGGCCCTCCTCAGGGATTAATCAACCCAGATGGAAAATGTTACCTGGTTACTGATACCTTGTTGCTGAGTATACTATGTAGTTAAACTTAGTTGCCTCTGTACCAAACCTGTAGGACTATTTTTGGCATTATTTCCTAAACAATACAGGATAAATAGTTACACAATATTTACATTGTATTGGGAATTACAGATAATCTGGAAATGATTTACAGTGCCTCTCATACACCCCAAGGAGCATGTGGGTAGGTCATATGCATATTTTATAGTAGGGACTTGAGCATCCATGGGTTTTGTTATCTGTAGTGATCCTGGAACCAGTCTTCTGGGGATGCCAGCAGATGGCTGTATTCTCTCAAGCTTCTGGAGGCCAGAAGTTTGGGATTGAGGCCTCAACAGGGACCCTATCCCTGCAAACTTCGAGATAGACTCTGCCTCTTCACAGTTCATGATGGCTACCAACCGCCCTGGCTTGCAACTGTGTGGTTCCAACCTCTGCCTCGGTTGGCCCATGGTCTTCTTCCTGTGATTATATCTCCTGTGTGTCCTCTTATAAAGACACCCTAGGGCCAGCCAGTGCTGTGGTGGTTAAGGAGGGTGAATCCCACATGGCTAACTGCAGGGTTCGAGTCCCAGACCCAGCAGATCTTAAAACTCTCTGGTTGCATATGTGTGTGTGCCCAAAATCCTGAGAAGAGACTGGAGAAGGGATTTGCTGATGGCCTTCCCCACCCAGGGGTTGATTTTCTACTTTCCCTCTCACTGTCTCTGTTTCTCTCTCTCTGGTGCATGCATGTTCCCTAAGGCAAAAACCTCTTAAAAAATAAAAATAGACACCCTACTCTAGCAGTGACCTCCTCTCCATGTAATTAATTACATCTGCAATGACTATTTTTTTAAATTAATAATTAATGTGGTTTATTTCCAAACAGAATATGAATGATCTGGGCCCAGAGAAGAGGCAAACATGCCTTTCGTGGGGTGATCAGATATAGGGGTCCTTTTATTTGATTTTGAGAGTGACAGATAAAATGAGTGAAGAGATTTGCAATGACTATTTCTTTTTTAAAAAAAGAATTATTTTATTTTATTTAATTTATTCATTCATTTTTTAATTTGACCAGAGGGAGACAGAGAGAGAGAGAGAGAGAAAGTGAGAGAGCAAGTCACCAGGTCCAGGCCTTGACCCGTGGTCAGCCATGTGGGAGTGTCCAGCACCTTAACCACCACACCACCTGCTGGTCCCTGCAATGACTATTTCTAAGGAAAGTCACATCCTAGGTTCTGGGGGTTAGAACATCAGCATATCTTTCTGGGGGACACAATTTCAGCCCACAATGCCACTGAATGAGGACTCTCCCTGGCCCCCCGAGGTATCTCCACTTCTGGTCATTCCTTTCTCCCCTTCATTCAAGTTACCATTATGTGCCACTGTTCTATTGGCTGGCGGATCCTCGCCGTAGTTTACCATCTCCTGAGATCTCAGAGCGCTTCTCTGTGTCTTCATTGTCAGGGATCCGCAGAGCTTGGCATAAGCCCTCGATAAATATTTGTAGAAGGAATGAACTTTAAAGATCATTTACTGCAGAGAGTCTCAAATTTGGGGGTTTTGTAGGCCCCACGGAGAACACTTTTTTTCCCATAGGATGTGTGCGCTTGCCAGAGAGGGACAGAGACAGAGAAAGAGAAAGTTAGAAACCACACACCCTCCAGAGGGATGGCCACACTGCAATCCCTTCCCCTCCATTCTCTTCTCAAGATTCTGGGCACACATACACATGTGCCTAGTGTGTTTTCCAAGCCACTGAGTCCAGGACTTGAACTACAGAGTCGGCCATGTGAGATCTAGCACCTTAAGTGCCTTTTTGGGGGGCCAGCAGGTGGCATGGTGGTTAAGGGTGCTGGGTTCCAACATGGCTGATCATGGTTTGAGTCCCGAACCTGGCAGATTGCTTTCTCACTTTCTCTCTCTCTCTCTTCCTCCCACTCTGGTCAAATTAAAATACACAAATAAATAAATATTAAATAATTCTTTAAAAGTTTTTAAATAATATTTTTTAAACTTACTACAATTATTTAATTTGCCACAGGGCATGTGCACTCACCAGAGGGAGCCAGAGAGAGAAAGTGAGAAAGCAAGCCATCAGATCAGGGACTCAAACCATAGTTGGCCACATGGGGGTCTAACACCTTAACCACCATGCCACTTGCTGGCCCCCTTAAGTGTCTTTTTAAAAATATAATGAAAATATCCCCACCTCCAATGATTATTATCAACCAGATATGAACTGAAGAAAGTGTTTGATAAAGTTTAAAAAACTGAACACTTCCTGGCTTGGTTCCATGGCCCAATGGTTAAGACAACCAGATCCCACCTGGTCTACCCTGTGGCATGAGCCCTGGATCCAGCAGCCTGGGAGCTGGGCCAGTGTGCGTGTGTGCCCAAAATACTGACAGAAGGGAGCTGTAAAGGAGAAGGGGTGTGTCACGGCCATTCCCCAACAGGGGTGCTTTCTCCTCTCTGTTTCTCCAGTGAGTGGCAAAATTTTAAAAAGAAAAGAAACTCAAAGCAATCTAAGGAAAACTGAGGGCTGCATTTGTAACCAGACCCCTTTGCTGTCCACATCTGTTGCAGATGTAAAAAAGCCCTGAAGGGGCCAGCAGGTTACATGGTGGTTAAGGCCCTGGACTCCCACATGGCCGACCACAGTTCGCATCCTGGACCTGGCAACATGCTTTCTCACATTCTCTGCTTCTCTCTGCTGAGCTCATGTGCCTCATAGCAAATTAAAATAATAAGGGGCAGCAGGTGGCATACCAGTTAAGACACTGAACACAAACATGACACACAACATTTTGAGTCCTGAACCTGGTGGTTTACTTTCTCACTTTCTCTTTCTCTCTCTCTCTCTCTCTTTCTCTGTCTCTCTCTGGTGAGTGCATGTGCCCTATAGAAAATTTTAAAATAATAATAATTCTTTAAAAATTAAGAATAATTTAATTAAATTAATATTTTGAGAACTATTTTATTTAACTTTACTTATTTATTTTTTAAAATTAGAGAGGGACAACGAGAAAGAAAGGGAGAGTGAGAAAGCAAGAAAGCAAACCGCCAGGTCAGCCATGCGGGAGTCCAACACCCTTAACCACAATGCCACCTGCTGGCCAAATTAATAATTCTTAAAAAAGAAAAGAAAGAAATCTGCCCAGACAATTCTATTATGTCGAAAAAAAAATCGAGGGGGGAGGAACCAGCAGTTGACGTAATGGGTATGTCGCTGGGTTCCCATGTACTCAACCGCGGTTCAAGTGCCAGACCCGGTGGCTTAAACTCATCTCAGGCACGTGCGTGTGTGCCCAAGACCCCGAGAGGAGAACGAAGGAGAAGGGATTGCGGCGTGGCCATCCCCCCTGGGGAATGATTTCTTGCTTTCTGTCTCTGTTTCTGTTTTTCTGGTGAGTACACCTGCCCTATAGCAAAAGCCTTCCCCCCCCCAAAAAAAAAAGTGAGGGGGGAAACACCAGCAGGTGGCATGGTGGTTAAGGCGTTGGTCTCCCACATGGTCCATCTCAGTCTGAGTCCTGGACTTGGCTGCTTGCTTTTTCACTTTCCCCCTCTCTCTCTGGTGAGTGCAAGTGCCCTATAGCAAATTAAATATCAAGTAAATTTTTTTTGAAAAATTGAGAAACGTGAGGAAAAAACAAGCTTTTGTCTTTGACTCATTTGAAGACTTAGTTCTCACAGCTCTCTGATGAAGCCATATTTACAGGTTTCCGCTATGATGGCAGATTTGGTTGGAAATTCACAAGAAACGTTTGCCAATCACCAGGTAAGGTGTGGGCCATTTTTTGCTTCTGTTTTTGAGTTTTAGGCTGCAAGAGTAAACCTTATTTCATTGCGCCACCTGCTGGTAACTACTCAGAATTTCCGTTTCTGCCAACAAAAGGCAAAAGGTTTAACAAAGGTGTGTTAACAAGAATTTTTTCCTGCTCCCGAAAATCTATGACTCACAGAAAACTCACTAATGTGACTGGATGGTAGAAACAGTCCTTCGGAGCTGGCAGGTGGCATTGTGGTTAAGGGTCCTGAACTCCCACATGACCGACCATGGTCCAAGTCCTGGACCTGGGGCTTGCTTTCTCACTCTCCTCCCTCTCTCTCCCTCTCTCTCTCACTCTACCCATCTCTGGTCAAATTAATATACATATATCAGTAAATAAATAAATAAATAAAGTTAAATAAAATAATTCTTTAAAAATTAGTTCATTCTTCATCTTTTTATTTTTAGAGGTTTTTGCTATAGGGCATGTGCGCTTGCCAGAAAGACAGAAAGCGAGAAATCACTCCAGAGGGGGGATGGTCACACCACAATCCCTTCTCCTCCATTCTCCTCTCGGGATCTTGGGCACGCACGCACACGCGCCTGGCCTGAGTTTAAGCC